CAAATCTCTTAAAATCTTCACTATAGCCTTATAGTAAAGTTGAGGTCTAGGATATAGAGTTCGTTATAATAAGAGTTGACTGTATATTTATTCTTAATATTTTACTTTATTTATTATTTTTATTATATTATATATTTTTATTATATTAGTTTATTTATATTTTATCTGTCAAAATAATTAGTTTATAATATAGTAATTAGTTAATCATAATAAAAGAAATTTTGCATAAATAGATAGACTTTTTATTTATGTTGTAAATTAATTTATTATAAATAAGTTTTAGTATTAATAAAAAATTTAATTAAAACTTATAACATTTTTTTTCTTTATATTTTCATATAGTCTGATATGATTTCTACATATTATTTATAATTGAGTTCATTATCTAAAATTCTTTAATTAAATTTGTTTATATTATCTTTCAAATCTTTATACTTAATAAATACGTTAAAGTTTAACATATAAATTTGGTAAAGTTAAAAATTAGGCAGATTCTAAAATACAAATTCTTTGTAAGTTAGAAAAGACAAACTGATAACTATATAGAAAACTTTTCTTGAAAAATAGTATAATAATATTCATTGACTTTATACGTAGGGTTAGATCAGCCCAGTCTGATCCAGTCCAGTCCAAAAAGACTGGTCTTTTATCTTTTTTAGGACTAGACTGGTTCATAAGTCAGTCTTAAGACTAGTTTAAGGACCAGTTCTTAGAACTAGTCTTTGTATATTCAGTCTTATTAGTCTGATTTAGTCTAAAATATATTTTCTTTTCAGTCTGAACCAATTGATAAGACCGGTCTAAGGACCGGTCCTTAGTTAGCATATAGTATTAAAGTTTAATTTTAAAGAAGACAAAAATAAATTATTTTTTATTATAAATGAATACAAATATATATTAAATTAAATTGTTTAATATTAAAAAAAATGTTCTTTTCTTCTTTACTAATTACTGTTCTACATTAATTATATTATTTTTCATAAATATCTTAACGAAACTAACTCTTTAAACATAATGTTGCCCTGCTGTTTCTGCTTCTAATCTATTTTTTAAAGGTAAAATAACTAATCCAGTAACTGAAAAAGCTTGTTCTGAAGCTACACTTGTAGCTTGAATGCACAAATAATTTCTTGCTATTTGACTTAAAATTGAAAAATCTTGTTGTTGTGATTGTTACCATAATAAAAGATCAATTTGGTTTTCTAATGGCATTGCTAAATATCTATCTAGCTCTCTTTGAATATTATATACTTCTGATAAAATAGTTGAAGTAAAATTATTATTATTTTATAATTGTCTAAAAAAATTCTTATACTTATAATATCATCTGATATAGAAGCTATGGTTGAAGTAGATGTTAAGAGATATACATTTAACTTTAATATTAAGTCTTTTGCTTTATTAATTTCATTTTTATCTTTGAATGCAGATAGCTTTGCTCTTAGATCTAACAATGAAGAAATTTGTGATGATTCATCTAAAACTAGTAAATAATCCTCTAATTTTTAATAAATTGCATTTATCATTATACATTGTGAAAATTCATCATCATTTTTATATTAAATCAAATGTTCTTGAATACCAAAAAAACTGATTGTATATTATCATGTATTATATAATTTAAAGCTGAAAGAAGACAAGTTGCACGTTCAATTGGCTTTAAGAGATTCATTGTATTCTATTAAAAAAATAAAAAGTTATTAAAATATATAACTTTTTACAAATATTAATTTTAAAATTGAATTATATACATTAATAATTTTGCAATCTTCATTATTAGGAAATTGTTGACTAATTTTTTCATTATTAATAGTAAGTAAATTTAAGGCAAGTTCCATTCGTTTCTACTTTTCTAACATATAATAAGTTGAATTCCACCTTATTTTAATATTTAATTCAAATGCCAAATAATTGATTCCTTTTACTTGACATAATACTTTTAATTCATCATTAGTTAGTTGTAAAGATTTAATATAAATCATTAAGGTATGTATTTTTTAATTAAATTACTAATTATATCAATTTCCTTAGCAACTGCTAAATTTAAAATATATGTAGCATATCAATAAGAAAAAAATTTAAATTATTAAATTCTTCTTCAAGTTATTTTACTATAAAATTATTACAAGTAATTATTGAGCTTACATTATCTATTATTAAAGCTAATGCTTTTTCTGCTAATTAAAATTCATATAAAACCTCTATTATAGTATCTATTATATTAATTCTATTATGATAAACTGTTATTGGAATAATATCAAATAAAAATATTTTTAATTTTCAAGAATCATCAACATAATGAATTGTAAGACTAAGAAATGCTGTATTATTAGATGCAATCCATATATCACTAGTGAAAGCTACTTTTCTTAATATTTTACTTGTTACTAATTTTACTTGCTCTCTTTTACTTTGAAATAATGCTAATATTTGATCTTTAATTGTATATTGATTATTAAATTGATATTTAGAATCAAATTTATTAATCATTTGTCTCTATTTCTCATACTTTACAATACTAAAAAGTTGTATATCACATATAATCCAATTAATAACATATTTGTTACGCTCTTATTATTTATTTTCAGAATGTAGATCATTGTGATAATTATGTAAGGTTCTTTATTATTGCTTAGATGCTACAATTTTATGAGAATTTAAGTGTCTTTTTAAAGAAGAAGTTCCTGTTGATGATGAAAATACAATTTTGCATCTTTTACAAATAAGACGATTATTGTTAAAATCAAAATGCTCTCATATAGTTGATTTAAAAATTCTTTTTTGTTTTGACTTAATAGATTACAATATTGTTAATTTCTCTTGAATATCAGAATCAGCATCATCATCTCTTATTTTATCATCTTCCTGAAAATCTTCTTCATCTTAAATAATTGTAATGTTATCATCTTTAATAAAATAAAATAATATGTAAGAAAAAAAAAAGTGTAAGAATTATTTTTAAAAAAAAATTTAACCTTGATTTTTTATTTTGCTATCGTTAAACAATTAAAGTTAATATTGAAATAAAATCTGTAATTGTTACATAAAAAAATTTTATATATCATAGATCATCATACTATATATATAAATTTTAATATAATAACTGGTTCTAGACTGGTCTTCAGTATATAAACTAAGGATCACAGGACCAATCTAATTAATTGGTCTATAATCAGTCTTACTAGGACTGATCCAACTTTATTTATATGCCTTTTATGTTTATTTTCTTTTCTTATTATATTTCTTTATTATCTTATTATTTTTCTATTATAAAAATTTTTATGACTATTATAAAAATATTATACTATAATTAAAATTACTTAAATTTAGTAAACTTAATACAACTAATAAAACTAATAGTAAGACAACTAAGATTAACTTTGAACTAATTAGAATTTATACATAAACTATAAAAAGTTAATCCTTTAATATTGCATCTAACAATTGCATCTGAAAAAATTACATATTAATAATATTTTTAAAAATTAAGTAAATTTCTACTATAGTACTATTAAAATAATTATAAATCTGTTATTATTATTATCAGTATTACAAATATGAATTATTTTTTACCTTTTTTTATTAATTATAAAATTCACAGTTATATTAAACTATATAGGTATTTTATCTATATGAAGAATATTATATAGTTTAAATGATATTTTTAATTCTAAGTTAAACAAGAAATTGGTAAAATATATTCAAAATTTTTATTTATAAAGAAAGTTTTAATTTTTATATATTATTATTAAACTAATTTATATCTTCCTATAAATACAGATAACTAATTTTTTGATGCCTTAAAATCTTTTAATAAATTATCATAAAAAAATCTATCATTTTAATAATTTCAAAATATTTGTTATTTTAATTTTTAAAATTATATATATCATAGCTAACCCTTATTTTTTTACCTAATAAACTAATTATACAATCTTTTATTAGCTTTAAGATAAAAACTTTTGACTAGAATTAATTTATATATTTATTTAGTTGACATTTTTTATATGAAAAAATTAAGTTTACATTTGTTTATAATTAAGAAGATACAATATTTAATAAAAATAAAATTTGATTTATTAACTTAATATAGAAAATAATATTATATTAAATTATTTAATTTTAGATTTTCAATAAAAGTTATATTTTGTTATATATAAAGTTATATTCTAATTATATAATATTAGCTGAAAATTTTAATTAGATAATTATTAATAACATTAAATTGTAAAAGAAAAAATTTTATTTTAATTAGTTTCAAAAAATTAAGATTTTAAAAATTATTTGAAATTAAATATTATTATTCCTTAAACTATAAAGGTTTGTAGGCAAATTTGCCTGCTTATTTATTATAAATTCCTTTTGATTTACTTTTATGAAAAATTAAAATTTTTAAAAAATTTTTAAAAAATTAATTTTATAAATATATATAATATTATAGTAAATTTTATTTTTTAATTATATAATAAATAATTTA